CTTAACTCTTTAGCATAGTCAATATTGGATTATATTGCAAATTGGTACCAATTTAACTGTATTGAACATCTTAATGTCATCGTCTTTAAGCACGAAGATATTTCTTTAAAATATGGAAGCGAAATTCAGCTGACTTGATGCAAATCTATTAGTTGTTTAATGTCGATAGCTGAATATATAATTAACGATACCAATGTACGTAAACGGCTAATAAATTATCGAATATGTTGAGTATAAAAACATTTGTTATTACCGATTTAGAGTAAAAAATAATGACAATTTAAAATGATTTTGATCATTGTAATAAAGGATACGAAGTGACGACCTTAGATCAATAGATCAATTCTGAAATTAAATGTAATGTTACAAAAAGTAATTTTTTACAAAAGTGAAAAAACTAAAATTTGGTACCTATTAGAAAATGAATATTGCAAATATTGAAAATAGCTACTTTTTCTGGATAACTTCAGACTACATTCTGAGAGGTACCCTCTTCATCAATACGATACAGTTGAATATTTGTCCGCAAGTTGTGAAATAAATTAATTCATTCATCAATAATTCTGACTTAACTTGGTATTTACAGTACAGAGTTATGCTCGCTTTATGCGTTTTCCTTCACAGCAGGAATCTAATGTAAAATAACGTTTAATTTGTCATATAACTGCGGATATTACAGAACAATATAACAAACACCGCAGAAACAAATTACACAGTAAATGGTTTGATTACAGTTTTGAGTGCGTTCCATATTACAACGCTTCGATTTGTGACATTTTATCGAAAACGTTGTAGTAAGGTTCTAATGATGGGTCATAAACATGGTTTAAGTGGTGAGACGTGGTGGGTAATTTTGGATAAAAAAAAGTACTAAAATCAATTCATTTTCTGCCCCAACTTTTCTATTCAGATATGAGACTGGATTTGAAAGTCGAACTCGGATGTTTTGATAGACAATTTAAACCCCCGGTCTGATACTTAGATAAGTTAATTCTTCTATCAATTGTATAATAAGAGCTTTTCTTTCTGTAGAAGAAATCTGATTAAACGTTTTGCGGAAAATGTTGTCTTTTTACTTATGTCGCTAGATTTTGCTTTACGCTAACACTTCAATAATAAWCAAAATGCATTAACAAAATATGCCTTTCTTYTATTCATACGCGCATCTAGAAGAATGGCCCTAATTTTAAATCGCCCTGTTTTCCAAAAGTTACTTTGCTTAATTAGCAAAATACCACATACATTTMACGGGGCAGCTAATTCAGATCAACCCATAAGAGAGTTACTACATAGGCTATAGAAAAATGACTGAAGCAATGAGGACTGGGATTCCAAAAGACCGAAAAATAAATCTTTTGACCTACGTTTGCAACTAAAATATCCGGACAATAAAAATTTAGCACTGAAGTAAAGGTGATGAACACAAAAGTAAAGGTCATATTATTCCTGTTTTACTAATTGGCAATTTATTTTTTCACAAATTATGATCAATACATTTCACAATATCTTATATGTTGGTAGCATACATTTTATCACTTGATACCTACAATAATTAAAGTGAAGATCAATTGGAAAATATTTGAAGCTCTAAATGTTTTGCATCAGGATTTAAAAATCAGCGGTACTGAGTTAAGATTTGTTTTAAGCGCGACTTCTGAGTTTATTTTAGCAATAACGATATTTTAGCTATTTAACAGAAGCAGTCATTTCAAGATTAAAATAGTTGACTCCAGGTAGGAAGCAAATACCGGTGTTATCTGGTCTATGCAATTAAGCACTTACCGAGAAATTCAAGCTATTTATAGTCAAATATGTTTCTCCTTACATTTTCCAGCTCAAAGTTTTCAATATTTATTAGTTTGTCTGTAATGTTTATCATCCAGATTAAGAGTATGTATAAATCTTAAATGTGTTTTAATAATTGAAAAACTCTGCATAATTACATAAATTAAGAACTAATTGTGTCAAGGGAAAATTAATTAGGTATTTAGTGAAAATAATTTGAACTGTGGAACACAAATTCTTCGGAACATCGGTTTTGCTTTGCTAACCATTCTGTGACTTCCAAAATTCAAACTGTTCTGTCAAGGTCTATAAAATGCCCCGAGCAGTAATTGCGGTTTTTATCAGGTAAAACTACCGTAGCAAATTACCAATAATCGGAAAGATTATTAGTCATTAATTGCTTGATCCATTAGGTAAAGCTGCTAATTTTAAATGTGGTAGGTAGCTCTAAACCTCTAAACAATAATTATTACGTAAACGTTCTAGTTGCTTGAAGTGATAATTTGAAATCAATTCTCATTCAGTCTCAAGTTCACGGTTGATGAACTTTAAGTCATGTTGAACTACGTTGTATTTACTGGAATTGTGGTTAGCAATTAAATCTAAATGAATATAGATGTTATTGCTCCGATATTTGTATTGCATATGAAAGTTACCAAGTATTAGTTGAAAACCAAATTTAATTAACTTTGGTCTCAAGCAGCTACTGTATCCACCCAACTCAGTTTCAACGTGTACTCGAAATGCTTTATTACAGCAATGATTATACCTATTTTCGCTAAAGACAGGTTGCAAAAACTGACACTTTTATTTCAAAAATTTAGAAGGACATTTAAAGCCTGATTTTACCTTGAGAACAAGTATGTATCAACGTGGCTTTCTGTCCTGACGTTCTGTTTAGAAGGCAACTAAAGTTTTTATGGCAGGGATATAAACATAAGCGGTTTTTAGCGGTTCTATCTATATATAATAACCTAAAATTCGGTTTTAAGCTGTTCAAATTATGTCTCGAATAGGTTGCACATAAAAAAAGTATAGCCATATATTGTGGAAAATCCAAAATACAGTTTTATGTGACCTTCGATTTCTTAGACAAAGGACGCACGCTTTACATGGATAACTGGTGCACGTATTGCACCTTAGTAACTGCATTTTTGTAGCGAAATACATATTTTGTGGACAGATTACGGGCTAATTGAAAACCCAACACAACAGCTACCAGTTACTGCTGAATGCAACAAAAAACTGACATAATAAAAACGGGGCAATACGCTTCATGTTACAGAACATCAATTTCATCCCTGTGCTTGGGTACGACAGCTAAGTACTAGGCACAGGGATGAAATTATTCCGAGACAAGAAAGAGGATAAAACATTTTGAAGGCTAGTTATAGACCATAACAATAATAAAACATTGATTCATATAACCGATCAAGTGAAAGCGTAAATTACATCTCAAAGGCTCAGTCCAAGTTTCAAAAGAACTACACCCACAAGATGAAAATTTAGCTCTAAAAAATACCGAGTCAGAAGAAACCGTCCATACATTTCAATATGTTCGTCGAGCTAGCAGGAAACGTTGCGCTATTTGCTATGCGAATATTAGTGAACCATATCCGGCATGCATATAAGTCCCAGCAGGAGGAAGCAGTAAGGATAGGCCTCAAAACAAACGAGGACAAGACCAAGCATATGTGCCTCAGTATCAATAATCGGAACCGAGATAGAGAAGGTCAAAACTTCTCTATCGGGAACTACAACTTTGAGCGGACAAGACAATTTAAATATCTGGGTACAAGTATTAGTGCAAATAACGACATTACAGATAAACAACAGGCTACAGGCTGCAAACAGATGCCTTTTTGCTCTTGAAAACCTAATAAAGTCTAGAATACTCACCAGGAAAACTAAGCTGAACATATTTAAAAGAATTATAAGGCCTGTCGTAATATATGGCTGTGAGACCTGGACACTAACGGTTACAAGCGAAAGATCTTTGAAAGGAAAGTGCTAAGAAAAATATTTTACCCAACCAGAGACGAACATACCAGACAATAAACCAACCAAGAATTCAAAGTTTACACTGATAAGAGTATAATAAAAGAAATAACGGCCAGGAGACTATAGTGGGCAGGACACGTTAAAAGAATGCCCAACGTTAGAATGGCGAAACTAATGCGGGAGGAGGTTCCACGGAGGGAAAACGTTCATTGGATCGGCTCCGCCTCAGATGGACAGATAATTTACAAAAGACCTAAAGGCCATGAACATCGATCGAATGCTTAGTAGGCGTCGGCAAAAACCCACCCAGGGATGATGATGATAATGATGATGATGATGAAAGAAGTCCCAAGAAAAACCCTCAAAAATGCCCTGAAGTGCCTACAGTGCAACAGATATTAACGTCTATCCTGTTTTAGTATAGCGGGTAAGACAACAGACATATAATAAAATAACGAAGACCTTAAGTTTAAGTTTTAATGTGGCAAGTGTGTGGCTAATTGAGTTTTTAATAAAAAAAAACATATTATGATTATGATGTTGATGGATGGTGCCACATCGGTCTACCACTTACAGACCAAATATGGTACCTGGACCGTTACATCATGGGTTTCACGATCTCATTAATTTAAATGCACGCCATAAGACCAACAATGGTTCAAATGCATCTGAGTGAAATATGAGTCTTAAAAAGTCAAGCCATGCGGACCTCCAAAAAAAATTAACTTTGGTTTTTACCAAAGTGTACGAAACTAAAGAAAGATGAGATACATATGTTTAGAACGTGTGAATGTTTTTACGTGTATAAAGACAGGAAGCTGAATCACCGCGTATAAAAATAAATGCAGGTTGAAAGAGAAAACTGAAGTGCGATTTGAATTTTGGACGTTCACAACACAAAAATTTGCGGATACTTTGATTTTCTAGGCTCGAGTAATTTGTTAATTATTTGACCTCTATAAGCACACTAAAAATAATTCCTAATAACATTTTCTGATCGTCAGTATCAAATGTAGAAAAGACAAATTGAAATGGCTACCAAAAGCTCCTTTAAATTATAACCGAATATAGGTTAAACATAATTTCGTTTTGGATTAGCTCATATCTATGCGTAAGTGCTAAACTCAAGGGCGATACGCACATAATTCCTAATCTATTTTTAAGCTGTAAAAGGTCAATGAAAATCGATGTTATTTGAGTGCTATAATACTCACCTAAATGTATAGGATATCTTCCAGTCAGTAAAGCAGCTCTGGAGGGGGTACATAGTGCTTGAGTATAGTGACTATTTAAGATAACTCCATTGTAGGCGAGAGCATCAATGTTTGGAGTCGGAATTTCATCAGATCCATGAAAACTGACGTCGTTAAATCCCTGGAAAAAAATTAAAATAGTAAATTTAATTCGAGTTTTAAAGTTATGTAGATTGTTTCATTACTTTTATAGCCGTTTATCTAAATTGGCGTATTCTTAAATTTATAAGTCGGATAAGTAAATCAAATGTTTAATGCTATATGTATATCTAAACACACTTTTGAAGTTAACATAACTTATAAAATGTGAATTTAGTTAGATACTATAATGGTAATATCAGTTGTGGCTTTCCATAAATCACTGACATTGCTTCTGTGATCATTGTGTAACGCTTTGAAACATAACACCAATTTTTTTGCCAAACAAATAATATTGAAAACCTGAATCATGAAGGTTTTCTAATCGTTTCAAGTTCGCCATTTGTATAAACGAAAGCAATTTACTTCGAAAAGCAATTCTTCTAAGTAGTTCGGTAATTAGACAAGCAAGGTCGCCGTTTTCGTCATTTTTCACAACAGCATATGAATGGTCTGATTGTAGCCCAAGTTTGACAAGCCCAACAAAAAGCACTACCTCTATGTACCGGACTATTATGTGGTATACAGTGTATACCACATAGTTTAGGTGCTTATGATTAAATAAATAGTTGCAATTTTTTTTTATTTTGCATCATATTTTTTTAATTGATTCATGTTTTTAAGCGATTCTAACAATTAATAGGAGTGTGTTCGTGTTTCTTGAAGAATTTCGTGCTAACGAAGTAGTTTTTTATTGTGTCGATTATTAGTGTAATTATAGGTTACTTTAGTTGCTTAAAATATGCATACAATTGTTGTGCGATGAATGTCTATATTTATAAGCCTTTCTTCAGGATATTTATCAATATCGTTTTATGTGAACCGCAAAATTATATCCACGTGTAACCTTCAAACGATTTAGCAATGCGTTATCCCGACAGGTTTCAGTTTTTTAGATTTATTAAATTTTATAACCCACATATTAGCGGTTATAATAATATGTATTTTAAATAATAAAAAAAAAAGACACATTGAATGATTCGATATTAGAGGTGTGATTGGATAGAGGTATAAATGGATAAATAAGAAAATAAGCTTTAGTAAAATGTCAGATTTTCTGTCTTACGAACATTTCGAAAAAAAACGATAATTTTTTTGAATTTAAAGATAATAGTAGTTGAATTAATTTAATCAGAATCAATAAAAGTCCACCTAAAACCTATATTTTCGCTGGACTTTTGTAATGAGACACCAGTGAGAAACAGTTTTTTCAGAAAAATTTGCAGTTATTAATTAACTTTGAAATTATTATTTATTTATTTGCTGTGTATTTACTTTGATTTTTACTTTTGACTTACAGCATTTACTTCGATTTTAGTATGAAAAATTAGCGTTTAATATCTATATATAATATGAATATTTACTGAAACGCCTTACACTCAATAACGGTTTGAGCTATCAATGAATGTATTCAAGGCTTCCTTTAATATCAGATGTTATTCGAGATTCAATGGTAAATACTAGAAAACAATACATACATATATTGCTTTAACATGCTTATTCTAATACAAAGATAGAAAATAATGATTATTTTATTTTAGCTGTTATATAGAGACTAGTAATTTTTTAATTAATAAGGCATTTAGGATAAATGGCATATTTATTTCATATGTCGTAATTATTAATTTTACATAACACTTTCTCTTCTCGTTAAATATTCCGATGAATGGAAAATGGCAAATCTTGGCCATTCACAGCGAGAAATTTTAGCATACATGTGTACAATCGTATAGCAGGTGTATTTTGTACCATGAATTAATTGTTGAGTCAGATCATCGATGATTCTACTACCGCAGTGACTTTTATTTCTATTGTCTGATTTTTATACTAGTTACTAGTATATACTAGTACTAGTATATAGTTTTCCTTTTATACTGTTAATGTTATGTCAGCTCTAATTAAAACTGCATTTCTATAAATATATGATTATAAGAAATTGAAAAAGGTAATGCAGTTCATTCGCTATCATTCCGACGAAACCCAATAAATTTCCGTGTTTTGACACACAAACACAAACCAAATGCAAACCTTGCAAGTGCCATATTAGTTGTTAAATCTGTAAGCGATTCGAATTGTTCGAGCCTAAGATACTCATAGATAACTTTGTTATATACCGACCCAATTACATTCGTGGGTGTGTCACTAGATGGAAATAGGACGGCGGATAAAATACCGGATTTTCGTAATCGTAGGTGCGTTAGAACAAAAATGCTTTCAATCCACGACTTCTCCCTTTTAACCACATTCGAAATGTGTTAATTCAAACAACTGAAAAGAGGAATTAATTTAATTTGATGAGCAGTTAATAACAACACGGGAACAAAGGGAAACACATTTTATTTAGAATGACCAACAGTTGACTGTGTGGCGCCTTGCGCCAACAAGACATGAAAAAAAATGATTATGCAATCCAATTTGTATCCTTCGACTGTTGAATTTCAAATAGCTGTTAGACTAACTCATGAACAAAGAAAAAGTGATGGGTTATTAATAAGGGAAAATGATAAAGACGTACCATACCTATAAGTTCGTAGAAAAAAGAGAGAAACTACATAGTTTGACGGAAAGTTGGATTCATGTTTTCAGAATGTGCATAATAACCTTTACAACTGAAAATCTTGTATTCTTTGCTCTGTAAAAATTGCGTTTTAGTTAAATAGGTTTTCCTAATTCCAATATAAAATAATTAGAAACGTTTATAATTACTCAGAGCAAGAGATAGTGTAAAAAATGTGGACAAGAATAAATTCATTTTTGGTTTTAAAAATTGTGCAACAAAACTGTTGATGTTAATATTATTTGAATTAGCCAGCAACCTTAGAGTTAAGCATAGAATGAAACATCATCTTAATGTTATTTATGTTTGCCTAAATATTGTTATAGTTATTTGTTGAGTCTTTCTTCCAAAGTAAAATATATAGAGATATGTTTCTAACTGTTAATAAAATAATTAATAATGGGCAAATGTATATGCACAATTAAACATACTCCACTATCAAGAAAAAAATATCTGACCATTTTCAGATCTTAATAAAAATAAAATTAATTAAAGCAGTTTTAAAATAAATCAACACTGACGCGAACTCAATTTTCATCTGGTAGAACGAACTTTTGCACTTCGAAATTCATTCTGAATTCTAACAATCTATCTTCTAACAGGCCATCTGTTTTCTGTAGACATGTATATGGTAAATAATTTGCTTGCATTTTTATATCTGATATGTAAATTGTCCGCCTTAATGCACACAAGTTTTCCAGTTATTCAAGAAGCAAGAAACCACAATATATAACCACGTTAAACAATTTAACTATTTTTAGATCAAACACAGCAAAAATTAATTTTGGCGTCAGAGTATTTACCATAAGAAAATCAAGAAAAGCTTTTTACTTGAGTACAACTGAGTAGTACTTACTTAATTATCTCGCTGAAATAATGGGGCGGAAAAATCTTAATAAATTAGTGAAGTAAAAAAGAGGACTGTAATCATCGCTTTGAAATAAATGTAAGCTCCATTTACAATAAGATACTTATGCAAAGACTTTGGTATGACCGGAAGTGCTGCCACAAAATGAGCTCAACGAATCAAAAAGTCTATTAATTTGGCAATGTTTTTCTGCAAATAAATTAGATCTAATTAAAATGGAATGAAATGCTTAGATTTATCACTGTCTCACTAAGTATATTGTTTATTTTTTAGATTATCAGTGTTTGTGTCTGTATTGTTTTTTCCCGGTTATTGACCACTCTTGAATAGAAGAAATTGAATCAGTCAACATTCCGGCCATCCTCAAATGTGCTGGCAATTGGCTAGTAGCAGCGACACTCACCAAGCAAGAAGAAGGAAGTTGAGTTGGCCCATTAACAATATGTATAGTGAAGCTATCGCTGTATACTAATTATTTTATAAAAACAACCGTATCCGATCCAAAGTACCCGAAATATAGTCTACGGTTAACAGAACCATTGGGGATCAAGGGAAACAAGACAGAAAAACAGAAAACAATCGAAGCATGAAATTTCGCAAAATGACAAAGCGATACCCACAAATAACGGATCTTCAGATTAGTAGAGGTATTAATATCAATGTTGATACGCATTTTTAATCGACTGCCGCCGTGCAAAACACGAAGATAAATATTTTGATTATACGGAAGATTTGACAACCACTGCTTTTGGAAATTTAAACAATTTAATAATTTATTAAAATAAAAATAATATAATTGTAGAACAATTTGTCCTCAGAAAGGAATTGCTGAATCTCATTAGCTCCATTCTACAAATCACGAATCATGATGTTTTCAGGTGAACAGTTTGTGTTTGATGGTGACTCGATTGGTTACATTAATAATCCTAAACACGAATTAAGTTGGATTGATAGGTGGCTTTAAATGCCCGCTTAAAATTAATGAATCATTATTAGTAGAATTTATTAATTGCAGATAATTAATAAAAAATGTCCATTAGATGACCAGCAACATAAATGCTAGGGTAACCCCAATTGGTATAAAATATAAATATCTGAATTACGGCAACAAATAAACTTTTGGTGTGCATACATTTTTGGTAAAAGTCTTAATTGGTGCCGTGAATTTAGTAGCTATTTCGTTGCAATTATCAGCACTTACCATATCATCAGCGACAATTACAATAATATTGGGTTTGGTTTTATTTTCGGTTCCATGACATAAAGCCGCTAAACAGCTTATTAATAAAAAGCACTTCATTCTCAGCACGCGACTTGACACATAAACGATATTAAATTGGATCAGATTTGAAATAATCTTAGAACTTCGCCGGCTTCAACCAGAAACCCAAGCTCAGGGCCTATGAGTTGACCACTCGACACGGTCAGATATCTTGAGCAATGGACAGGAAAAGCATTCTTATAATATTATGTACCAACAAATGGAGGGGTTTCACTATTGGTCACTGCTGTTACTCTTATTGCAGTATCTTCGACGTCATTGGAATCGCTACCTGTAATGGGTGGCGGTTATTCCTGGGTACATTCATTAATTTCTTGGCCGGAATCTGCTTTGAGCATTATCGTAAATTAAATTAACTGACTTTGATTTAGTTTTCAAAACCAGTTTAAGCTTGATTTTATGAAAGATAATAAACGTTTTTTTATTACTCAGTAGTTATAGGTAGCACATCCTGTTGTGAGAATTCTATTGGAAATTCCATAACATGTATGCACTTTAAGCATGTAAAGTTAATTACGTTATTTTTTATGCTAATACGACTAAATATTAAATGTTCCATTTCCCGATGTTGCGAAAATTGCTTTTGGTGTTCCTTACATTTAAACCCAATTTAGACATATTGTATATTTCATATAATAGTAGTTTTCGATACAAGGGCGAAAAGTGTCGTTTTTTGGCCTCGTATCGAACAATATTGTTTAATCGAATGAAAGACATAACACAAATCATATTAGATACTGAAATCATGATAGTTATAATAAATAAGAATAGCCAAAAATATAAGGCATCAACTACATATTTTAACTTTGATGTCAACGGTATTGTTGAAATTTTCACGTTTTGACGTTTGTAATTTTTCTAAAGCGTAATTGTAAGAATATACCAGTGAAACAATGAGTGTTGAAAATTCAAGTGCTGCTTTTACGGTATGGTGTTTGTATAAGTTGCATATTTTGGATGACATTTGCGCTATTTAAAATGGTCGTGCTTTGCGTGTGGCAGATAAACTTAAATTTATGTTCAAAAGTTGATCATAAACCTATTTATGTGTACAATGCAAGACATAAACTTGTTTTAATTTGACAATTTAATTAATGTCTTTATAAATCGTGCTCTTCGGGTTTCCAAATCTCTCAGTTTCTGTTTTCGTTAAGTTCAGTTCCTTGACCGATATCGAATAATTTGGATGGTTGATTTTTCAAATTCGAAATTCGGTCTGAGCAGTGGTGAAGAAAAAGAAAAAAAAATTTAGCTACCAAGCTTTCGGCAATTTGTTGTCGCCTTGCTCAGGGCTGGAAGAGTCATTACACAAATTTTACTATATAATACTGCTAATTGTTTGCCCATAAGAAGGCCGGGAACCCTCCAGAATATTCTATCATTTTTTGTACAGCTTGATGAAATATTGAATCTTGTAGTCACATCGTTTGGTCATAATTCCTTTGTATTGGATTACACAAAACATTTATTCACTATAAACATGTTTTTCTGCAGAAATGACGAGACAAACTACTTTCAATACAAATTAATGATTAGTTGAAGGCACTGTACACCTCAATGATTTGACTTCGACATTTCAAACTCTACTGCTACGCATATCAGTTCGGAATTCCTCTCAAATTTCTATCTCTCGGATGCTTTACTTTTATATGAAAAACGTTTTATTTTGAATTATTTCGGTCCTGGTGGCTGATTATTGTATACAATTAATTTGTTCGTTTTTTGTTTTTTTGGTTTTGGATTTGATTTCTATGGGAGATTTGTTTTTGGGGTTTATTGTTGGGGTTGGTAAGTTTGGGGTTATATTTGGGGTTGGTAAGTTTATTTGGGTATTGTATATAGTTACGTTGTATTAGTTCAGGAGAAAAAGTTGTATACAGGGTGACTCAAAATTGGCATCATTCCTCTGGAGGGGTGTCATGGGAGTACAAAAAAATTAGTGACAAAAATTAAATATTATTAAAAACTCAGATATTTGAAAAAAATTAGATCAGAAGCATGGCAACAATGTTTTTCAAGGTAATCTGCCTAATGAACATTTCGTAAATACCTGTTCCTTCGGAATTATTAAAAACTACGGTAACCATGGATAAACATGAAGCAAAAAAAATAAAAGAGACAATAACAAGCGTTGAGGTTACGATAACGCTGTGACCTTGCGGTCAGTGCTGCGACAAAACAATCCCCTGAGTGCTGCCATCTTTTTGGGGCAAATGAGTGATATACCTAAATAGGTCACAACTGTCATCCAAAACTACCGGTTAAAGGTTATGTATCATTGATCAATATTATTGATCAAATAAAATACAATTCTGTTGGTAAAACACAAGTGTTCCATTCCAAACATCTTTGTGTCCCAATCACTTTGAGTCTGAGCTCATATTTTGAGCAGCTTCTCGTGTTCGGTTAATTAACTCGTTCGGAAGGTCAGAGATTTAATGTGTTCTAGTGTCCTGAGCATATTACTTACATGGTAGGAATGTAGGCCCTTCCTCGGGGGAGTTATCAGGACAATTAAGTATTCGGTGTTTGGGAAAGTGCAGTTGTTGTGCAATGTTTCCAGTACTTATGGAAGGCTCAGCTGCAATAATCTCCAATACCTGTTCCTCTAGGTCTGGAAACCGAGCACCTTTAGATTGTCCACTATCTGCGTTAATTTCGGGCCACTCGTCTAGTGTGTAGCTTTTTGCTGGTGTAAGTTCTTAGAGCTTCTGCTATGTTACTGTGGCATTTTCCCATAACTACTCGCATATTCGCTGTTGGTTTACATTTTGTGAAAGGAGCTTCAAAATAAGCCACAGTTTGACAAAGACTTGTAAAAAACCTGTAACTATCTGTTTTCATCTTTTCACTTAACATCAAAAAATTGTAGAATAGTACTTTTTAAATCTAAAAATGTTTCGTAATTTAACAAAAAGATCGTAATTTTTCTTTTCGAACGCTGAAGTATTCCAATAGGATACCAATCAAAAGTTGAAATTCGATCTTCAACTGTTAATATCTTCTTGAAATTTTCGAAAGTACAGTACTTAGTACTCTCTAAGTGGGCCCATGTATACAGGGTGATTCAAAATTGGCGTCATTCCTTTTAAGGGGTGATGGAGGCTCACTTGGGGAGTACGAGAAAAATATTGAAATTTTTTTTTCCAAAATTTTTAGAAGGTATTAACAGTTGAAGATCGAATTTCAAGTTTGTTATTAAGCATTATTTTGAAACGGTTCCATGTTTAATTGGTAGCATATTGAAATACTTAAACATTCAAAAAGAAAAATTACGATCTTTGCTTCAAATTACGAAAATTTTTGATATCAAAAAAGTTTCTACAATTTTTTGATGAAAAGGCACAGCGGCAATGATGTTTTTTGTCATTAACAGATAGTTACAGGTAGATCTTGTCAATCTTAACAATAATTTGTCAAAGTGTGACTTACTTTGAATTTCCTTTCACGAATTTGCGGATATGCAATTAGTTCGGGGGGAATGCTACAGTAACATAGCAAAAGCTGAAAGAACTCACGCCAACAAAGGGCGAGGAGAGTGGTTCCAGGAAGATAATGGACGACAATCCATTTTCGGGTTCCAGGCACAGAAGAACACGTATTGGACATAACTGAATCAGGGCCTTCCAGGGGCACTCAGAGCACAATAACTGACACTTTTCCAAACACCAAATAAATACCGAGGAAGGGCTACGTTCCTACCACGTTTGTAGGGTACAGACAGCACAAGGAGATACAAATGGAGCAGGAGTTAATGAACTGAATACGAGAAGCTGCTTGATAAGAGTGGATAATAAGGAAATTACACAGGCACTACCTTGTTTGGAGTTAACCATTCAATGGTCAAAAACACTAAAGATGTTGTAGGGTTTATTTATAAATACCCATATTCGAGGTTATGAGAGCAGGTTGACATTTCGTCAACATGTCGTTATTGTCAGTCTGTATAATTCCATGGTTACCGGAGTTTTAAATAATTACGAAGCCACAGGTATTTGCGCAATGTTAATTAGGCAGATTACCTTAAAATACATTGCTGCCGTATTTCTGACATAGTTTTTTGCAAATTTCTCAGTTTTTAAAAACAGTTAATTTATTTTACTATTTTTTCTGTACTCCTATAACAGCGCCAGACAACACCTCCAGAGGAATAACGCCAATTTTGAATCACCCTGTATAGGCTAAGAGAGCACTCTTACGAAACAGTTGATTTCACAGCTTAAAGTGTAAATGCAAATTTGTAAATTGTCTATCTAATGACGTATCTATTAATTTACGGGTACTTCCATTTGAAAAACAAAAGTTATATTCCGTTAAAAAGTTTGAGATTTAAGTCCACATTGTTAACACCCTGTACAATATTGTACATTGTATTGATATTTTGGTTAAATAGAATTCTTAACGGATCTGGGATGATTGGAAATACGTCTCTTTTTGTATCTTTCACTGATTCTTTGTTTCTACACTGAATTTTTAGATGTTTTTATGCAGAATTTTACTAAACTGGCGATAATCTGCCAACGTCGCAAGGAAGAAAAAACAATTTACAGAGCCTATGCAGCGTTTCAAGCTGCATTCCATGAGCTAATGAAATATGGGTAGTTCTATTTGAAAAAATACACTTTGATCTTGCCTCGCTTTTCTGAGACACTCTGTATCATATCTAATATTTTTAAAACATTCACACTTTGTGCGTCAATCACTTTTATATGAAAAATATTTTTCGAAATTTTAACACCAACGGAAATCATGTGGTGGCATCTTAAGTGTATTTTGGCAAGTAGCAAATAATAGCAAAATATTTTTTTGTGTTAAATTTGTTAGTGAAATCTGAAATAACGCGTTTGTTTACAGTGGTCATGTTTTCAGAGTTAACAGTGGCCACAACTTATTATTACTCGAAATCAGGTGGCCACTGGAAACGGAATTATTATTTTCTTTCAGATTTTTTGATATAATATTTTGTTAGTTTATAATTTAATAAAAAGTAATATTTTAATTATTTTCGAAAGGTAACTGACAGCTGACAGCATTCCTTTGGCATTCGATTGTTTTAAAAATCGTCACTTTCTTCAAGGCAACTAAGAGTGGATTTAAAATGCGGCAAAATAAGCATGTTATATTTGACAGCATTGTTATATTGGCAACAAAATGCATAAAAGCAGACAATCAAGAATAATTCGGCGTTTTACGTGTATGACATTTATTTATATCGACATGTTTAATGGTTCAACAGAAAAAACATTTCGAAAAATGTTTTTTTAAATTTAAATAAAATTGAATAAATGGGGCAGAAAGACCGATTGGGTCGATAGCCTTTTTCTGTAGGAAATAAAGATTATTTATATATTGAATAAAAGAAACGGTGGCCACTGTAGTCAGCCGTCCCCTACTACGTCTGCATTAGATTGGGACACAAACTACATACTACTTGGAGTTCTTTCAGTTACAAAGTTTTTAGCAACAATTTTCTTTCTTGTTATGTTGGTGAATATACCAGAAAGTAAAATGAATATGAACGTTAAAGCATGATTAATTGATCTAGCTAAATTATCGATTATAGTTGGTTGGATAATGGTTTGAAAACGATTTGTTTCAAACCAATTTTAGTTTTTTTTTACTTTTGATCGGACTGGTCTAAACATGTTCTCTACTAACACGATATGTTAGCAAATCGGTGAACCCTAAACGTAAAAAGCAATTATTCATTAGGATGTCCTTCATTTGTGTTAACAAAACTTTCTGACGAAATTACAAGCAACGACGAGATTCATTTTTACGATTTTCGCTTGAGAAAGTTTAATATTGACCATGTTACCACAAAGATTTATATTTCTTCATTAAATGTTTACTTAAACGTTTAAATTACATTTTTCTTAATTAAAAAGCTTCTTAATCATGAAGAGGGCTTGTTCAAGCAAGAGAAAATACATCTATCTGTTACTACTATCAATAACTATTCTCACACGCCAGAAGCATTTCAGTGGCTTCTTATAAATACACACAAATATTAATTCATTTTTCAATGCAGCAATAACTTATCTGTGGATTTATGGTATGATAATACTTATGGGGTTATGAATGACATAATAAACTTGACATGATAAACTTTATTGATGTTAAGGTAACGATTGAGATAAATCCCATCTAATGTAATTGCCCTGAAAAATTATATCCCTAAAAAAACAAGCTTTTAAGTTTGTTTATTTTTAATAAATCTTCAAAATGAGTCGAAAATATAATCAATCATCAATCAGTACGTTTCAATTTTTCTAAAGAGGTACAATGCCGTGCCTGTATTAGTAACTTATAAACGTTACAATCAAGCCGTACAATAAGGATCACATTAGTTTTAATTTAAAAATAACTCATCGTTTGGTTATATGGTTTTGCTACTTTTTAGTTAAATATCAACAATGTACTTTTCCAATTGCGTCTTGGAGTCATATGGGTAAAAATGATAAGATAGAATGCGGAACGATGTCTTGCAACGGCTTATAAAAACGTATTTTTAATTCATATTCTTTGTCGTTAAGCTTCAGCGGTTGCTTCAAAAAA